TGTGGTGTACTAATGGACTTCCTTGTGCTAGAAAAAGACTATCATGGTTAAACAGGATGTGGGCCGTGGACAAATGATGCTAATACAGGAAGGCCCAACAGCAGCCCATGAAGAAAAAAGAAAATCAAACAAAGGAGAGGGAAATTGATGTGGCTATATTTGCGGAAGAGGAAGAGGAAGAGACGCTACATTGAATTGATCCAAAACCCTAGGTGCGAAGAACTTGTGTGACTCAATTCGAAGCATCTCGGTCTAGATCCGTGAATAAAATGATGTCTGCAACACGAAGAGGGCTCATCAGAAAGAAACCGAAGTCAAAGATGGCACATGCAACAGGTGATGCTTCGTCTCCTCACCTAATCGATGGATCGAGTGGAGAAGAACAGAATCCACCCGTGATTCAGAGTGAAGAGAAGTCTGGAGCAGGGAAGGGGACCGGAAGCGAGAGCGACTCAGTCGCTACTGCAGACGAAGGTGGAAAATTATCAGCCAAATCACCGGAGGATCTTGGAGAAGAGAATCCGCTTCCCGACGAAGCCCAGGTTGAATCGGTGGCACAAGAGGAGGTACACGATGGTGCGAATGAGCCCGAAGCAGAAAATAAAGAAAGCCCTCGAGCCGAAACTAAATCGCAAGAAGCCGATCAACTGAGGGAGGGTAGAGAAGCCGCATCGGAGACCCAAAGAGAGGCTGAGCCCGAGGACAACGAAAGGGTGATTTCTGAGAATGAAGAAGGAAGAGGTCTGCCATCTGAGACAGACAAACGGCCAGAGGAGATGTTGGTTCAGGAGCAAATCGACGAGGTCAAAAGGAAGCAGAGCTTGGCAATGGTGACAGTTCCTGCTGCAAAGCGAGCTCAGAAAGAAAAGAAAAGAACCACATCCGCTGAAGCCTCAGAGCCAAGAGCTGAATCAACCCCAGCCGCTCCTTGCCTAAAAGCTGAGTCGAGTCACGTCAAACAGAATAAGAAGAAGGCAAACCTCCGGAGCAAAAAGAGGGTTGTGTCTGATGACTTAATCCAGCTGTTCAAGGATCGTCACATCTGGTGCGAACGAGTTGTAGATGTGGACGAAGAAGATGAATGGAAGTACCTTGAGGTACTTCGTGAAAGCGGAATGCGGTGGACGGTGACAGAGCTCGAGCCCTACATGAGCAAGGTGGTGCGAGAGTTCTATGCAGGACTACCATCAGAGTCACCGAGTGATTCATCTCAGGTCTTTGTAGTGAGAATCAGGGAAGCTAAAGTCCGAATTTCTCCAGGGATCATCAACGAGACCTTACGTCGCGAGCCTCTGACTGAAGCAGAAAGAAAAGAGGAGGCTGAGGCAGACCTTGTGCCAATTTCTGAGGTATCAAGATACCTGTCACAAGGGCATCAGTCGACATGGTCTGAGTTAACCTCGAGAGATTTCCCTCCACGGATAGCTGCACTGATGGTCATCGCATCTTACAACTGGGTCCCATCAACGAATAAGCACCACATCTCCGAGGAACGGGCAAGGTTAGTTTACAAGCTGGCGCACGGAATCAATGTTGACTTTGGGCAGATGATCTTCCAACAAATGCTTGATCTGAGCAAGGTCATCAAGGGAGATAGACGATGGTTGATGTTTCCCTGTCTCATCAGCAAGGTCATCAAGAGGCAACTCATTCTGCAGCTCGAAGAAGGTGAAATGTGGATCTTTCCAACCAAATACAAGAAGGATCCATGAAGTGGGGAAACCTTTTTCAAGAAGGAAGCCGCTGCTGCAGTTACCGAGGAAAAGGCTAAGGAGAAACGGAAGAAAGAGGCAAGAAATAGGACTGGATTTGCATCGACATATCGTCCTTCAACCTCGAATCCGCATTCAACAACCGCTGCCCAGCTGAACATACCAACTGGAGGAGTCAACAGCGTGAATCTGGGAGTGATTAGAGTGCCTGAGGCTCCAGCCAATGCAGAGGGAATCAGGACAGCTCTTGAAGATGTGGCATCAGTTCTTGAGCAACTCGGGGTAGTAACGGCCATGCTACGCACTGCAGTCACAGGTAAACTCACTTAGACCCTATCTGAACTTTCAAATTATGTTTGCTCATCGATTATTTTTAACATCTGTGCTCACAAGCAGGGGGAGAAGATTGAAATCAGTGGATGCATGAACTATGGGGGAGTTTTTGCTTTATTTATTTTGGGGGTTTTAGAATTCTGGGGGAGTAAGGAGAGAGTTTTTTTTTTGAGACATTGTGTTTTATCTTTTATCTCCTTGAACTCGTTGATGTTAAGACTTGACACTCCATTGGTTTCTTGGAGTTCTTTTGATTAATCGGAATTACCTCAGAATTGTGTGTGGCTTGTAGTTCTTTGGTCTGTGTTTGTGGTCTCGATTTCTTGGACAGGTACTTGTGAAGCACATATGCTAAAAAAGGGGAGATTGAAGATGCAAACAAGGCTGGAGCAGCACCTGTAGCAGTCCGCCTAGCTCTAGGACTTACACGGGAAGACTTGCGAAGCAATCTACACACGTGGAGGTGAGCTGGAAGCTGAGCTGGAGCTGCAGGACGTGCTGGACACTTCAAGAGACGAGAAGCTGACGTGGATAGGAAGCTTGGAGTATCTTGGAGGATCTTTGAAGAAAATATCAAGTTTCCTCTATCTTAGGAGAAGATAAGGAAGGTGAAGATTCTCATGAAGATTTGGAGAAATCGTAAAGAGAGTCTGGGCTTAGAGTAGCCGCAAGTCCTATTATGTATAAATAGGCGTGTGAAAAACCTTGTAGGGTTTTTAACACAACTGAGAGAATTCTTAGCAAAGGGTGAGCGAAAATCTGTGAGAGTTTTCTGTGAGCTAGTGTGCTAAGGGGTTTGGGTGAGAGGTTCTTGAATCACGTATCGATTCAAGAACAGGTGAGGCTAGTGTAGCAAATCAAGGTGTGTCTTGAGGTTGCTCTAAATCGGGTTTTGTATACTTGTAAGTTACAAACAGATTTACTAGTGAAATATTCTTGAAGAGAAAATCCTTGTGTTGTGTTCTGTGTTAGTTCCCGTATTACTACTCTTACATTTTCATAATGTTGGTCTTTCTGATTGTTAATTTCATCTTCTGAAACACCGTCAATGCATTCTCGGACTTGACTGACAAAAATGCTGGAAAACACATTGTTAATTAATATTTTTATGTATATATATATATATATGCATATATGGTAATCAATAATCATATAATCCAATAGTACCTCTCGTAAGGAGTCAATTCGTCGCAGTTCAGAAGGATGTACGTATGTGCGCTGTGGTAGTCCTTTTCGTTTGACCAACAAGTTTCTTTTAGTTTCCCACTTAGACATCCAATCGGTGAGAATATATCTGGTACACCTTCTACTGCGTAAGTTTGTCCTACACCCCCTATCATCATAACGTCTTGGAGCCCGTTTGCGTGTACGAACCTTTGGAGAAAAATCGTAAGACATGAAATGAGAAGTTTTTTCTATCAAACTTCCCGCCACGATAGACCCTTCAACTTTTGCTTAGTTTTTTACCTTACCCTTTAAATGCTTCATAAAGCATTCGAACATATACATCCACCTAAACCGAACAGGTCCTCCTAACTCTGCTTCGTGAGGGAGGTGTATAGGTAAATGTTCCATAACATCAAAGAATGCAGGTGGGAATATTTTCTCTAAATTGCACAACAGTATTGGAATATTTGTCGAAAGTTGTGAAACTACATCTGCTGATAACGTCCTTGTACTTAAATCATGAAAGAAAGCTCCAATGCCTCCTAGTGCCTCATGGACATGTCCCAGTAGGAGTTCAGCAAACGCAAAAGAAAGTAATCGTTGCATAAACACATGACAATCATGACTCTTCATATCTGAAAACTTTTGTCCTTTCTTCACAGATTTAGGTAGATTAGATACATACCCATCATGAAATTTCACGGCTGATGATACTCAATTAAACAATGCAGTTTTTTGTTCTGCACCCAGCCGAAATACCGGAACTGGTGCTTTCCCATTACTCACAATACGAAACTCAATTCTATTACATATATCAGGCAAGTCCATCCATGATTTGACGCTGTCTTTGGTTCTTCCTTGGACGTTCAATATGGTATGCATGATGTTATCGAAAAAATTCTTTTCAATGTGTATAACATCAAGATTGTGTCTCAGCAAATGATCTTTCTAGTATAGCAGATCCCAAAATATACCTTTTTGTGCCAATTATGATGAACCCAATATCCATCAGACATATTTGTGATATGTCTATAATTTGCATCATTTAGGTTGCATTTTAGAGTCCAAATCATATGTTTCCTTATTCATTTTGGGTTTTTTAGGCTTCAAAGTAGACTTTAGGATTTGCATTAGGTCCCAAAGTGTTTTGCATGGTTTGAAGCCTTTATCAGGTGCTTTTGAGGATGTTTGGAGCTCAAGAGGAAGATCAGGAGTGGAGACGGTGCAGAAGAGGGTCAAAAAAGGTGAAAACCACTTGAAGGAATTTCTCGGCGAAAACTCGTACCGGCTGGATCAGAACATCGGCCAAAATCGCTATCAGGTGGCCTTTACCGGCTAAAAATCATTACCGGGTGGAAATTCCATCGGGTGAAATTTTATGCCGAGGCAAAAAGTTTTTATCGGCTAAAAAACTTACCGCGGTACATGCTTCTCGGACATTTCCCTTACCGCGGGAAGCATTTATCGGCTAAATTCTATTTTCACCTGCGCGCCTCAAAGATCTCAAATCCGGGGAAACTTCCAGTCCGAACCAGTTGACGGGGTCTTCAACAAAATTGGAGATAATCAAGCCAAGATCCCATAACAGTTGGAATCACGTAGTTCGGACCAGTGAGTAGTGAGATATCGCCTCCGGAAGGCACGCCTGTCTCGCATGCATCCAAAAGCAGATCAGATGGGTTTTAAAGATTACGTGGGACGATGCCCTTCCAGCTCGAATCAGCTTACAGGACCTTCATCAATATTCGAGGTCTGTGAATGCTCTTTCCAGAACACATAAGGTCGCCCAACTCGGCATAGCGGTTTGAAAGATATCGTCTCCGGAATAGATATCGTCTCTGGAATAGACATCGGTCTAAAAGCTGGTTTTTTCGGTCATTTCAATGCGGTGCAAAGATGAGCAATCCGGGGAGCCTTCCACCTCCCAAGCTCCGACGGTTTCTTCACCAAAGTTTGATCTGAAAGAGTTATCTTGATCATGGAGCTGGTTTCAAAGCATTTGGAGTCGTGTGCTGAAAGTTATTGCCTCCGTAAGACAAGTTGATTGGTATGAGCCCAAAGAGTTGCGATACGCGCTAAGTATTTTTAGAGACCTCGGCATCGTTACCTCGACATCGCTTAGGCCGAGGCTCATCCCCTAAGAGCTCTCTGGACAAAACCTCGTACTAACTACTTGGTATGTCAAGATCGAGGCATGCATGCAAGAAAAGCCAAGCTGAAAGCGACTAAGTGTTGGACGTACACCTCGGCTAAAAGGCCTCGCGATTACATGCCGGACTCCATCTTCCTGAACCCCTCGACTACCAAGCCCCTCCGCACTGCAAGCCGAGGTCCCTTGTCACGAACCCAGATTCAAGAACAAGTTGACTCGGAAGATGCACGTGAAGATGGATTGAAGACTAGGGTTTATGCATGTTCTTGACGTGTTCTTCATGAGATCTTCATCTTGATCTTTGCTCACGTGCACCCCTTGGCATCTAGACCTCGGCTTCACTCTCTCACACACCGTGGTGCTCACCCAACGACCCAAGAAGAGCGTTCAGTACCCGGTTTGTTCCAGGCTGACCTGCGACACTTACCCTTCACTATAAATAGATTTTAGGACCAGAAACCTAATAATCTTTTATCTTATCTTATGTCCTGCCTGTTTTAGTCTTAAGAACTTGCCTCTTTTGTAAAACTTGATTAATCTAATCCGATATCTCGTTTTCACGTAATAAATCTTGTTCTTGTTTATTTTTTTTATTCACTAGCATCAAACTCCTTATCATGACTAGCTACACGTCTTGCAAAGGACTTAGTGAGCTCGTAATGATCAGTGAGTAGTCGGTTTAAGAGGCTTTAGATAGGTAGATTAGGGTGCTTTCATGATAGATTAGCGAGTTTAGGGGTCTAGTCTTGCATGTTTCATTCTTTAACTGACGAGATCTCTAAGCTGGATCCAAGCACATCACTTGCGGTTCAGATCTGAGACATATCTCGCATCAAAAGTGTTCGTAGAAATGTCTGAACCAATCGGTTAGAGGTTTAAGAGTCTTTCATCGCGAGAGTGATAGTTTGACCTTCTTAAATGACCTACTGAACTGGATCTTAAAGCTGACTGATTCATGCTTCTCAAAAGGGAGTTTGGTATGAAAGAGGATCAGTTTAGATGTTTAATACTTTAATGAGAAGATTATCATATTTTGAGTTCATGTTAAATGAAACTGCTTGATAATATTGATTCATTAACTTGCTAGTCTAGCTTGGAAGCACCCGAGTCTTTGATCCTGTCTAAAGCTTCTGCCTTTATCATATATCATCATCATCCGATCATTTGCTTGTTTATTTATCGTCATTTGCATCCTCATCTAGTTTAAATATGATCTCTTGTTTCACTTTCATGCTCATTTGCTTATTAAGTAGATTAGTTACCAAAAACTCTTGCTTGATCATCTTGACTTAAGATTACAAGTAACATCGATTAGTGTCTCTCGACAAGTAACCCCTTGTACTACAAGACAGGGGATTGATAACCTCTACAAAGAGCCTTAAAAACTCTTAGTTATCAATTGGCGCCGTTGCCAACTTGTGGGAGCATTAGTCTCTTATTTGTTCTTGAGATCAAGACATTACTTTCTTTTGTTTTACTAACTCTTTTACAAGTTCAGGCTTTGCTTTCAGGTGCATGAAAACCAGGTCTCGCAGCACAGATCCGCCTCACCCTTACAACAACAACATCAACCGAATCGAAAGGCGAGCAAGCGAGAGAGAAAGGCACTTTGAAAGGCCTGGAATGGCAGAACAGCAAAGGATAGAGCAACAGGCTCAGGATGCCGAGCACCAGGCTC